GTTTTTGTTTTTGTTTTAATGAATACAGCCTGAAATAAAGGGCACGTGTTGAATGTATGTCCTTAAGTAATACATTAAAGTGAAAATACACTAAATAACACACTGAAAGGCACCACAGATTTAGCATTCTAATTTTATGTGGCTTAACATCCAGACTACTGTGTGTTTTCTTTAGCTTATATCAAAGCTACGAGACAGGGGAAAAGGTAATTTAAAAAAGGAAGGCCGCCCAAATGCCTTCCAAGTGGCAAGGATAACTCAATCCAAGACAGAGTATTTAGAGGGCTTTCACCCAAAGGTAGATTGATAAACCATATGTGTGAAATGCTAGCGAAAAAAGCGTTTTTCTAAAAGGTGGAGCCATATGAAATCATCGATGTACAAAAATATATTATCTTGCTTCACACGTTCTTTAGAAGACCACACAGTGTAACTCTGCCAAGAGCTTCTGCGCCACGGACGAGTTGTGTTAGTCCTCATCAGGAGTCGGCAAAGAGAGAGAACTCTCCCACACCTGAGTGCATGTCTTTGCGGCATATCTCCCTTACAATGCAAACCTGCAACCCTCAGACACCAAAACAAACATTTTTTCCCCGAGTCCATTTGGTCCTCTGTGTCTCACACGTGAGAACCACCACAGCAACTTCAGAATGCTGTGTGCACAGAGAAAAGGCGGTTATCTGGCCCGGGGGAGGTCTCAGGGCCCGGCCAACGGGGCAGGTCTCTGCACGTTGCTCCTACGAAGGCCAAGGCCAATCTTGAGCTGCAGGCAAGCAGGACGGAATCCACTCTGGGCTCACTAATGCTGCTTACATTTGCAAACTCCTCCGCTCTCGCTCTCTCCAATCACCACGGAGGTTATACTGCCTTTCCAAGAGGATTCCAGGAAGCACCAAAGTTACAGCACACACAGAGACCAAAAAAAAAAAAAAAAAAAGCCAAGTAAATTCCCATGATGCCAGGGTACTGGGTAGTTTCCAAGGGCAGAGTGTTCCAGAAAAATACAAATAGTTCAGGCTTCCCAAAGAAATTCCAGGCAAATACAGACAGCTGCTCTCTTAGAAAGTCATGCAGAATTGCAGTTTAGGAGTTTGGATGAAAAACTCAAAGGCGGGCAAAAAGTTTCCAGCCAACTGGGGATTCTAACTAACTGCTGAATATTATTTCCCCTCATCTTCACTTCAAATGTCCGCTTGGATTCCCTGTGCAGAGCACAGTAGCCGGCAATACTGGCGTCCACTGCCAACACGACAGCCTCTCAGCAGTTTGGGGAAGGTCTCCACACACTTGAACCTTTTTTAAAGTTCACATGAAAACTTTAAAACCTTTCTTTCCAATATTCAGATGTTTGCCACTAAGCTCAGTATCATTCAAAAACAGACGCCACCGTCCTGCCATACACAAAAACACAGGTAAAATAAAAATCAAGTTCTTGCCCTGGCCAGGTAGCTCAACCGGTTACAGCGTCATCCTGCCACGCCAGCCAAGGTGTGAGCTCACTCCTGGTCAGGGCACATACAACAACCAATGAAGACATAAACAGGTGGAACAAACTGATGTGGTTTTTTCCCCCTCACTCTCTCTCTAGTCAATTCAAAAAAATAAAAAGTAAAAACCACAAAGTTCTTCTAAGTCTCAAGATATTTACGCTTGGCATCTATTTTTTAAATTTCTGAACAAAGTATCTCACCATAAGACACTTGCGAGTATCCTGTCTCACACACTTTTTACCTTTGAGCAGATAAGATATACCAGGCTGCATAATCCCATCAACCAATTTTAATCTCTTTCCTCGTGCTCCTTTCAAATGCATAGATTGCAATTTTCACCTGACTGCAAGAGGGATTTCTTGCAGGCTATTTCAGTAACCATCTGGAAGTCGGCCACGCCGGGATTCTTTAAGTCGAAAGTGACTCTGCAAGGAGAGCAGCCATCTTCCTGCCGTGCATCTCTGGCTCGGTACAGCTCCAAACCCCAAGTCACTTACAAAGCAGACACGAACTTTAAAATGCAAGAAAATGCACTCTCAGCTCACAGACCAAATTAAAGAAACTTCATTCCAACATAAAGAGTATCTGAGTTACTTCATAATAAACCATTTAAATGTTCCTTAACATGCGTTGAGTCTTGCCTGTGGAAGCATTCAGTTAACCTAAATTAAGTGTCCCAAATAATATCAAAACAACAAAACAAAAGTCAACTCAGAACTGCCATGTACCTCCCGGCCCCCCAACACACACACAAAATGAGCCAGAACACACAATACTACTTCCCAAACTCTAGAAAGCTTTCTATGTGTGTGAGGGGGAAAAAGGTCATGGAAATGAAGTTTCACTATTTATAAACACCGTTCACGGTTTAAAAGATCCCGGGTTTTCCAAAGGCCTCAGCTTCTACATAGCGTGCAGTCTCATGACAGCTGTAGCCAATGTGAAAACAAGCGTAGGGGAGAATGAAGGTGCCATCCCCACAAACACAAAACGCTAGTCCCCAAAACACAAGCAGTGTTTAAGGAACTAGCAGTTTTTGAGCTCTTTAACAGCTCTCCAACCACTTTATCCATGCAAATGACTTTCAAATTCTCGGGCAGGCCATAGGAAGTAAAGCACCAGAAACTACGTTTAATTAAAGATTCGGTCTAATTCCCAGTAGTAAATCACAGGAAATACCTAAGTGTTCCAAAGCAGCAGCTCCTCCGTCCTAAAACAGTTACGTTTTTGGTTGATTTGCCTTTTAGAACTCAACTTCTCCCTTTTCTGAATGTTTAAAACAGGAGAATCTTTCAGATCCGAGTGAAACTTGGTTTTAACAAGTAACTCATTTTTATGAAAACCCTAACCATAAGACTACTTATGAGTTAGAACACCTCATGTCTTTTTGTCTTGTCTTTTCTTCTTAAAATACCCTTTTACTCAAAGTGAAAACGCACTTGCTGTAATCTGACTTGCACCAACTGACTCCTGATCACACTTGAAACATTTACTCACTTGAGAACTGCGGTCGGCCGCCTCCCGAAGCCCCACCAGACTGCTACCTGGAGCTGCCCCTGGGCCTCGGAGTCTGACACCGAACCCTAACACTTAATGGGTCTGCTAGTCCTGTTAGGTAAACCTTTAAAAATGGTAAAAGTATAATTGCATTTGGGGAAAAAAAAATCAGAACAACCACCTAATACAAACAGTTGGGGGATGATATGGCTTTATTATCTGTTTCTTTACTAAGCGCTAAGTCTTAAAAGTTTAGTTATACTCCTAATTTAAGGATAATACCCTGACTTAAGACCATTTGAGAGGCAAAACTAAAATCATACCGAAACTCTGGCACTCCAACAAGCTTAAAGAGGTTGTATCCACATCCAAGGACGCAAGAGGGGAAGAAGGGTGTCAGTACACCGTGTACTTTAAGCGGCAAAAGAAAAATTACTTTAAAATGGCAAATGCTTTTCATCATAGCTCAAGGAGGATGATAAATGAGCAAGTAAAGGCAGCAGTTATATATTCAAGTGTTAAATAAAACTGGGTTTGGCAGACAATCCCGACTTTGTGGCTTGATACAGGCTGGGGGCAAAAGTAGGTTTCCAGTTGTTCTTATGGAAAATAATACAATTAATAGATAATAGAAGAATAAACTGTTTCGCCCACTCACAACCACAAACCTACTAAGGAGGCACTTTTCCCTTTTTGAAACACTTGATAAATAGCATGGGTGCCTAGCCCTTAAGTTGTGATAACTTTACTCTAAAACTCACTCTGGAAAAAATAAAATCCTGTGCCCTTCTCCAGGAACTTCAACATGATGTAACTTAACCTTTCTGACACACAGTAACCACAGGAATGACTATGTGTAAAGTCATCCCGGTGTAACAACTGCGTATTACAGATTATGCTGCAAAGATTATGGTTATCTGTAGTATGCTGTATAGTCAGGATGAGGCCTTCAGATCTGTTTCTCCGCGCTCGGTGGTAACAGAGAGGTGGCAAAGCCAGAGAGAAGGTGTACGCACAGGCCTCCAGCCCGGGACACCCGGGGGGGGGGGGGGCTCTCCCTGCTGATGAAAGGCCTGGGGCCACCGGCGAGACCCAGAGTTCGGGCACTTCCTTGCATAGCTCAGCTCCGACCGCGTAGTCCCCAGAGCCGAGCGGAAAGCCGTGCTGGCCCTTTAAAGGCGCTCGCTTCCTGCGCCCTCGGCCCCTCCCTCGCGGTCGTCAGCTCCCGCCTCCGCCCCTGCCGAGGGTCACACTTGAACTTTAGCTCCGTCCTGCGCGGCCCGGCGCCACGGCTCCGCAGGCGGTGGCCACCCCACTGCACGTGTCGCATGCGTTACCTCTGGGTTGGCCCGATTCCCTCCACTTAAGTCCACTTCGGATACCATCAAAACAAAGCAAAATGCACACCGGCCTCCAAAACCTGAGCGGCCAACCCCCACAGACGAGCTCGCGCCCATCCCCTCCACCTGCAAGCCTCGTCCCTCGCTGGCGGGGCTCCGACGCCCCTCGCCGCGCCCATCCCGGCCCAGGGCGGCGGAAACGGCTCCCCAGCGCGGCCCAAGCTGGGAGGTCGCGCGCCACAGGTCGGAAAGGAGCCGCCCTTAACCCTGAGATTCTGGAGGTTAAGGAGCGGCCGCACAAATCTGCGCGGGCCGTGGGGGGGGCGGAGAGCAACTCCCGGTGAACCCCCTTCTTTCACTGGGGAACTTTTGTGCCTTCTCTGATGTCCACTTCTTGGCGTACTTTCTTCACTCCCTTAAACGGGCCATCCCACTCCAACTTTCACTTGAGCGCGCGCACGCACTTACTATACTTGTGTCCCCCAACTGGTCCCGAGCAAGCCCACCACCCACCTGTGCCAGTTCTCGCCCGCTCCCTGCACGCGTGCCCTGCACTTGCAGGACAAGCAAACTTGCACAACCGCCCCTCATACGCCCCACCGCGATCTCAGGCGCAGGTGGGGTCCCGGCGCCCCCTCTCCCGGTCTGGCCACGCACCCCCGAGGCCACTCACCTTCCAGCCCGCCGAGCTGTTGCTGTCACCCTTATCCTTGAAGTAGGGCACACTCTTGACCATCCACTCGTAAATCTGCGACAGCGTGAGTCGCTTCTCCGCCGAGCTCTCGATGGCCTTGGTGATGAGGTCGGCGTAGGACAGGTTGCCCCACGCGTTACGGCGGGACGAGCTGCTCTTGCGCGGCTGCCCAGCCAGCGGCCCGGCAGCGGCGGGGGGCACCGGCGGGTGCTGAGACAGCGGCCCGGGCGGCGGGGGCTGCGGCGGCGCCTGGTGCAGGCAGCTCGCCTCCGGGCCCTGGAAGTCCCCGCACAGCCCCCCAGTGGCAGCCGCTGCTGCCGCTGCCGCCGCCGCCACCGCCGCCGCCGCCGCCGCGGCCGCCGCCACGGAGCCGGGCGCCTGCTGGAAGTCCCCGCTCTCCTCCAGGAGGCTCAAGTTGCTCATGAAGTCCGCGTTGACAGCGGCCGCCGAGGGCAGGCCCGCGGCGGCATCGGGGTTCGCGGCCGCGCCACCCGACGGCGCCGGGCTGGAGGTGGCCGAGTTGGACTGGCTAAACTCCGGCCTGGGCAGCGGCCAGGTGCACGAACGCGGCCGCGGCAGCGGCTCGAAGTCCGGGTCAATCTCCACCACCTGGGGCGCTTCGGCCATGGTGACCCCCGCCCCTCCCCCAGCCGCGGGAGAGCCGAGAAGGGGTAGAGCGCAGCACCGGGAGCCAAAGGAAGGGGGAGCCGCGAAGAGCTGGTCCGAGATTGGGAGCGAGGTCGGTGCCGCCGCAGGAGGACGGAAACCCGGAGGAAGAAGCGACCAAGTGGAAGCGCGAGCCCAGAACTTAACTTCACGAGTCCATCAACATCTAGACTCCTCTGGGTCCGCTGCACCGACGGGACGGCAGGCCGGGGTCGCCGGGCGCGGGCGGCACCGGCGCCGCGCTCCTGCTGACAGGGCCCGCGGACCGGAGGACTGGCGGACGCCGCGGGCCGCTCGCTCTCCGCAGCGCGACCACGGCGCTGCTGCCTGTTGAATGTGGCTGCGGCAGCGGAGGTAGCAGCTACTACGCGGCCGCTCGACTTACGGGATCTGCCGCCACCCCCCGCCCGCTGCGGCGCGCGCGTCGGCCCGCCCCTGACTGACAGCCACCGCGGCCAATGAGCGCGCGGCCCCGCCGCGGAGGCAGCCAGTGGGCGCCGGCCTGGGCGGGGGCCGGTTTTCCACCGGGAGGCGGCAGTGGGTTGGTGGGGGGTAGTGGGGTGTTTTTCTCCTTCACACTCTCTCTCTTTTTGGATGTTATTATTTTCGGGTAATGCTCGAGCGTTTCGTGAGTCTCTCGCCCTCTCGGTGTTGGATTGCTAGGAGGCAAACCGGCGTGGAGGCGGCAGCGACACTTTGTTTACTACCGAGGAGCAGAGCCGAGTACTGGGGAAGCACCAGAACGAGTCCCTCGCTCTACCTCGACCTCCTCTCCGGGCCCTAAGCGGGTACCGGGGGCCGGGAGGGACGCGCCGAGTCCGGAGGCGCTGGGTGGGTGGGTGGGCGGGCGGGGGCGGCCTCTCGGAATTCTCAGCCGACCGGCTCTGAGCTCCACCCACGATTTCTTTGCAAAGCAACGTGGGGCTGCCGGTGGGTTTTGTTTTGGTTTTTTGTTTTCTTTCTGCGCGATTTGTCAAGACCTCTGGCCCGGCGTGGGCCGCGCACGCCCCCCGGCGCCGGGGTTCTGACCGTCCAGCCCGCGCGTCGAACACCCTCCCACCGCCTCCGCACCCGTTAGCTGAGCCTCTGCGGTTCGGTCTAGTGCGGGGCCAGTCGTTCAGCCAAGCACCCACCAGCCAGGTTCACTCAGTCCATCCTTGACCTCCACGGCCAGAAATCAAGGGGAAAGGGCTCGGCCCGGCACATGGAGTCCTATTTCACACGCACAGACGGTCCCAAAGGTGTCCTAGACCTCATTCCCTCAGTGGGAACCTCAGCCTGCCCGCCGAGTCAGCCAGGGACAGCAGGGAAAGGCGGGCATTGAGTGAGAAACTTGTCACTTTATTATTTATCTCTAATTAAGTTTAACTGTTTCCTTGTCATTTCTTTGCTATTTAGAAGGAAAGTGATGAGGTGTTGAGATGTAAAAAAAACTCAAGTGCCTTAGGGCGTAGCCCTGCCCCACCCCCAGGCTCCTAATTTAGGCTGTTTGCCACGTGCATCAACCAACCCACCCACCCACCCCACCTTCCCCCATCTGGGTTCCTGGTCTAGGACGTCCTGTCGAGATCAGGCGGGGCAAAGGTAGGAAGACAACGGCCCTTGTGTCTCAGGGAGCAGAAGAAACAGTTTTCAAGTTCTGTTTTGTTTTGCCTTTTTTTTCTTTTAAGGAGGAATATGGAAGGCATTTCCTTTCAGAGGGGTGGGATCACTTTCGAGGGAAGATTGACAGTAGGGTTTTAAATATCTTGTCCAAAATGACAGCTGCCAATTTTTTTTTCAACTCTTTCTTACAGGTAATTCTTCCACTGGGAAAAAAAAATAGCATCTTGAGAAAATTAGGCATCTTTTCTAAAAGTTTGAAGACTTGGAGATTTATTTTTTCCTTGACATTCTATCAGCTCCCTTCTACAGCCCCCTACTTCTTTAAAATCCCCTTATCACAGCAGCTTCCTACTGATATCGGGGATGGTGGGCTAGGGTGGGGGTCGTAAGCCTGGTGCATTGAGGGTGGGGTTGGTTCACAACCCCCTTCTGGTGGTATCCTAGCGTTTACTATCAAATTCGGACCTTCGGGCTTCCTCTGCCAGCCGCTAGGGGACCTCAGCACCCCCGAGGATGAGCTCAACGGAGAGTCGCAAAGTCGACCCTTTGCAATTACCCTCTGCCCAGGCAGTCCCGGATCCAGACGGCCGCACCCCACCCTGCACAGAGGCGGTGCTCTAGTGCATCATTCTTGGCGGAGGAAGTCAGCTGCAAAAATTTGGCCTTGCCTTCATTTCCATTCCGGTTTTTCAGGGCCTCAGTCGGGTGAGAGGGTTTGGTTAAGGGAGTTTTCTTACAGACTGCCCAGATCTTGAATTCTGTGCTATCCTGCCCAATTGTTTCTTTGCATATTCTGGTTTACAGCTGCCTGCCATGGCGGTGAATGTATCCACATACTGAACCGTTGGGTGCTGGTGAAGTGCCGAGTGCTTGTTGCGGGTCTGTAGCTACCACCAGCTATCCTGTAATGAACAACCTTCTATAACTCAGCTCGCACCTTTCCAACTACATAGGAGGAATTTCTGGAAAAGCCATCACTGTGTCAGCAGTTAAATGCATTTGTCATTTTGAGACACGCTGCCAAATTGCCCTCCATACAGGTTGTATCAAGCTGAACTTTCTTTTCAGCTACGCCTACGTAATCTGAACGTTGAAAATAAACTTGGTGATCACCAAGGTGATCCCCTTTAGCTTATAGATAGGGAAGTTGAGGCACAGAGAGACTAGCGGATTTGTCCAAGGTCAGAGCTAGAACACCACTGTCCTGGTTTCCTGTCCATAGTCTCAGTTCACAGATGGAAAATTACAAATATCCTGTAACCTCACTATATGAAAACCACTATATGAAAACCTCAGTGTGTTGCTCTCCAGTCAGCCCCCCAGATTTCAGTAATTTGTAATTTACTAATTTAGTAATTTAGTAATTTCATCAGACGAACTCCACTGAACTGAAGTTTTGATTTAAAAAGTTTTAAAAAGCAGACACAAAAAGATGATGGTGATAGTAAGACAATGAAAGCAAAAAAATTACAGAAGAAGTAGTTTGGGTTTTTTAGTCAAAAAAATGTAAATATTGTCTCTCTCTTGGAAGGATGCCGGAGTATTTAGGGTGGCACTAGTTCTGCCTGAAAGAAAAAATGTTCATTTCTCCGTTAGTATTTTTTGCAGTAGCTGTTTGCTTTGAAGGCTTTTGCTTATGATTATCCATTATTAGTTGGCACATTAGGCCAAACTGAGAAGAACAATGTTTCATGTCAGGTAAGGACAGTTACAATGAGAAGGGAAATTCCTTCTCGCTGACGCCGTCTCCAGTGATCAATTCCCAGGCAGACGTTTCTGCATGGACACCTCACTGTCAAAACACCACACATCGGAACCGACCCCTGGTTTGAATTCTGACTCACCAGAATAGGTCACTGGAGGCAGATTTAATACGAGAGCAGTCTGCATGCTCATCTCCCAGGCCTGACACTTGGCACCCCACTTCACCCCCATTTCCCTTTCCCCAACACTGCTCACTTCCAGCACTTTGTCCAAATTGCTGGAAGGCACTGCCATCAACCTACAACAGCCTTTCGTCAGCGCATGCGTAGAAAATAACCACCTGAAAAAAATCAGCTCCGGCTTCACTGGCCTATTACCTGGTGCCGTGGTAATATCAGAATACAGTAGTCGTTCGTGTCTCTTGAGGGATAATTTCCTTTGGGTTTTGTTGTTCATCCAGCAAATATTTATAGCGTGCCTACTATGTACACACCAGACACCGTACATCTTAGAGCACATGGTTTTGATGGTAAATTCCTGGAGGTTATAAATGGTTTGTTTTATCTTCCTTTATAGGATATTTGATGTCTGAATTAAGATCATGCTGCTCTTAACTGGTCAGCAATGCATACTAAAATATTTGGGGGAGGGGATTACACAAAAGACACAGGCTACATCAGATTCCTTGTCCATGACATACAGATGCGATGCTTACTCACCTGTAACTGGGGAGAAGCACTGGGCAAGTCATGAACCAGACAGTCAATATTTTCAACTGTTACGAAGAACCACTGTTTCTCAGCTTCAGTATGTGCTGCCCCTTCACTTTAAGGCTGAGTGTGAGTGGACTTGTGGGTGTCTACAGGAACTCTAAACTGTACGTGTAGATCATCTAAATGCCCAATAATAGAGAATGGTTAAGTGGATAATGATTTATCCATAAGGTAGAGTCTCATGCAGTCATTTAAAATAAAATGGACAAATCATTTGTAATGACATTGCAACCGCTAAAAGTGTTAGCAGCCCCGGCCAGGTGGCTCAGTGGGTTAGTGTCCTCCCCATACACCAAGGTTGCGGGTTCCAATCTTGGTCGGGGCACATACAAGAATCAGCCCACGAGTGCATACATGGAGTGGAATAACAAATCGATGTTGCTCTCTCTCTCCCCTTCCTCTCTCTAAAACTGACCGGTTAAAAACATGTTCAAAAGTGGTAGCAATGGTGGTGTCTGAGTGATGCATTGGATTGTTATTGGTCTCAGCAAAACCCCTGGTTTCACAGGTAAGAAAACAGACAGGAAGAAGTTGGGTGGTTTGCCCAAGGCTATACAGTTAGTGCAGTGCTGTGTTTGGGTCAGAGCTCGGCCTCCTGGTGTTCAGACCAAAACCTTTTGCCGTCTATTTCATTGCATTTCACAGCACCCTTACCAACTGGGGGTTTTCAGATTATTTGATAACATCCAACCTATTTTAAACACTAGGTCTTTACCTTTGAGACAATAAAATAACTCAAACCCCAAAATGTATACATATCACAATTAAAATGTTTCTAACATTAAGGACTCATAGAATTGCCATAAAATTAATGGATGGCACATGAAATCCTAAATTCTTTGAATGTCACCAATCTGGATTTTCCATTCATGCTCGAAACACAATGTGTTTTCACTATTTCATTTCTGTTTCATGTCATATTAAAGCTCGTAACATACTTCTAAAAAAAGGGGCATATGTATTAAATTAAAAAACGCTGCCATGTAGAACACAGATGGGAACACATTTTTGGCAGAAAAGGAAGTTTAACAAGGCATTTTACTTATTTACTTGGAAAACTAATATGTACGAATGTTCAAGTTAAGCAGTATGAATTAATTGCTGTCTCCAAGAATCAGTTTTTTCCAAATCAAATCACCCCATCTCCACAACACTGTCATAGAGAAAGGGAGTTGAATGTGATCATAAACAAGCCACTAAGAGTCCAGTAATGAAAGCATGAAAGACAAAGAAATTGTTATCATTTTCTAGTAACTAACCATGTTGCTCGCCACTTGGCGATAAAAGTCAATAGCGGAGAGGCAATG